TCTGTATTCCAAGAAAGTGGAGGAAAATCCAGTACAGCATGTAACTGACTAACCATCTACAGGCAAATAGATATACATATAATTAAATACTATATTAAAATATATTTAAATTAAAATATTATATTATAAATGATATATATTACATGTCCATAGGAAAGACAGATTTAATTGGGCTAAACACCAAAAATTTTGCTCAAGTTTCTGGTTGTCCCCAAAGCATGCAGCCCATTTTTTTAATACTAAAGTGAACATTTTGGATTTATTGTACAGGCACAGAAAAGTTATCATGGTGTATGTACTTCTTTTTAAGTTAATCCCTGCTCAAAACATCAAAATAAAGTCAAAAAAGACTTTGCATGTATGGAATTTTAGATTGAAACTATAGGTCCTCAGTAGTAGACTAGTTATTGTGGCAAAACAAAACAAATTATTATTACCATATTCACTTAACATTGACTATGTGGCAAGCAGTGTTCTACGATCTTTGTGTATGTGATTAATCCTTTAATTATCTCAAGAACTCTGTGAAGTAGTTATGATTGTTTCCATGCAGATGAAGAATCTGAGACTAAAAGAGCTAAAATAACATGCGCAGGGCCTAAGACTCATGAATGGAAGGTTGGAATTCAAACCTTTTTCTGACTTTGAAGTCTCGTTCTTCACCACTATATTCGAATGCATTCAATCTTCATAATGCCTATTTATTATCCCCACTTAACAGATGAGATAACTGAGGAACAGGATTCAGTGCCTTGTGAAGAGTTACATTCTTCTATGGAGTGACCCACTCAAAATTAAATCAGTGTCAATGAAGCCATTCTTCAAATCACCCTTCCCAATTGACACGGTGCCACTAATAATTGTGGTTGAGACACTCTTATAGAGTTGCTATCCTTTACTACTATTATTTATCTCCAAATTATTTAATTGAATAAAAACAGAAGAAAACAGAACAATAAAACAAGCAAAACCATCTGCCTCATTCCCACCATAATCAAAAAATAAACAATACAAAATAAATAAAAACCAGTAAGCTCTGGTTGGAAGTATAAAAAAGTGAGCCCTGAGTTAGAGTTATTTTAGGTACATCCATTAACCTCCATATACCTTCTCCCCATGGACTTACAGCAGCATATGGCTGTTCTCCCCGCAGTTCAGGCTCTGCTGTTTACTCGGAACCTCGAGGTTACAATATGTTTTGTAATCACTAATAAGGACCACCTGCCTCTTGAGACATTCAGTCTAACAAAATGGAGAGACCTAATTGTTCAAATTCGTTCTCAGACAACACGCCCTTCACGCACGGACTGAGGCACTGAATAGAAAGCCTAAATCAAACTAAACAATTGTACTCGCTGATTGTAGTTGCTACATTAAGAACATATGTTAGTTCCATCATAAAGAAAAAGAAGCAATAATATTTGGAACAATAAAGACAATGCTTTTGAGGAAATAAAACACCTCATAATTTTCCAGGAAAAAGAAAAAAAAATAACCTACTTGTTTAAAAAATTCTTTCACTCCACTAAGGTACATTCAGGGCAAATCTGTCACATTCATACATGCTTCATCGTACACAGGCTGTGTACAAAATCATCCCATGCTTGAATTCAGCCAGAAAAACTGGCTCCTTGAAGCAGAATTCCATCCAATAACTGACTGATAAATGCTTACAGCTCAGAGTGTAAAATCTACTGTAAATCTGGTTTAACAGATTAAGGAGAGATGGGAGGACACAGGGGAGAGTATCCTCCCCTGGCCCTCAACACATCCGTCATCGGCAGCCAGGCTGGATTAGGAAAGTCTCCCTGGGCTGCTGCTTGGAGACACTGCACACACCTTCATCCATGCACCTGCCTCACTACGCTGGCATTGTTGGTTTGAGTGCTGGTCTATCCTTCCAGGCTATGAGCACCCTGAGAACTACATATTCACTCTAGTCCCAAAACTTAGCCCAGTGTATGTGCACAGAATGAATTTATCAAGTCCATTCAAAAAACAATTGCTTAGCTGACATTACCTGGCCATATGCTACCATATAGAAAGTTTGTATTTATCTCACTTAAAGGTTACTTTTTAAGTGTAGATAGATTTTCTAAAGTATTAAGGCCAATAATAAAGATAAGAAGAAACACTGGGCTATGGAGACAAATGGTCAGCATTTTGATGAAGAGATTCTCTCATAACTTTCTAAAGCAAATTCAAGTGCCTCTGTAATGAGCAGTGTTTTATTCACATCGATTACCATATCTCCCACTGGCCATGTAGAATCATGAGACACTGGATTAAGTATAGGTAATGTTTATGGATTTCATGTGTGCCAAGTCCTGGACTAAATGCTTCATTATATTATTTCATTAAATTCTTATTACAGCCATACAAAACAGGGGCTACTAATGTGTTCATTTTACAGGTGATAAAACTGAAGCAAAGCATTTGTTTGATGCCTTGACTAATGTCCAAGCAGGACTTTAATAAACTGGTCACTTTCCAAGCACCCCCTACTCGGGCTTCAAACAGGTCACTGATCCAAGGGGAAACAATTTGTCCTGCTATACTCCAGAAGTCAACCCTGACTTACAACCTCTCCCCACAGTCTAATTTACTTACTTTTCTTCTCAGAGATACATTCTCTCTGTTTCAGTAAAGCTGGTACTCCTATCTAGTTATAAATGGTCATAATCATGCATAAGAAATAACTCTTACAAATTGTTTTGATATATTTTATGAATAGTTACACAATAATAAACATAAAACTCTCATGCACTGTTAAATGTACATTAAAGAACAGCTTGAGATTCAATATGAAGTTTTATAACAAATATATCATGCACATATATAGAGAGATGTGTGTATATATACTTTTTGTGTAAATGTTTTAGGTATGTTAGTATAGTGGACATATTTTTCAACCATTGAACTTTGCTATGTACATCCTTAGTCATAAGAATGTAATAGGCAGTTTAGCATTAATAAATATCAGATAAAAAGTAGCTAACCTATTTTAACCCATATCAAATTTTCTTTGTCATGTTTAATTATTTTATTTCACATAGGTTTACTATCAAAAGACCTTTTGACAAAAATCTATTGATTTTCAGATTGGCATTAATGACTTGTAGACTTATAAAAACTATGCTTCAATATATGTTAATTTGGGTTACGGAACAGTAGATAAGGTTTCTTCAGGCTGCTGCATGTAGTTAACTGCAGATACGTGGTCTTACAAAGCACAACAATAGTTAGAAATATAAGCTGTCTTTGTGCATTATTGATAGCTAAACCATGATAATTATCAGGAAGTCATTTCAGAGACAGTAGATCATAAATATCCTAGTTTTATTATTTCCCATCATCTGCTTCCTTTTTGAAAACTTTGGTGACTGATGCTGCATAAGCATGCCACTTAAGGAGCTCTCTTTGGAGATACAGAAGTAAAAAGCTGTATTAAAAATTACCAACTCGATGTCTTTTGAGTGGGTTCAAACACAAGAAAGCACATGTGAACATGTTACACACATATAGACAAGAATAATCTCCACCCTCGTGTACATCATAAGCTTTTACCTTCTAGCTAGGATAAGGGATGGCTAGGAAATGAACTTAATTGTTCATTTAGGAAATAAACTCAATTCTCACAGTGTTATGATGGCTTTGAGGATCAAGAAGAGATACTTTCATTATGGGAAAGAATGAAATACATATTAGAACAATAAGACAGTACATGAATATGTTTGTAGTTTATTTGAGGCATTTACAAAGTCCCTGACTGTCTACAGAGGAAACGCTAAGTCCCTGTAAATAGTCCTATATTACAGTTGTCAAAGACATGCTCAATGAATGAATGCCAATCCTTAGCTGAGACTATAGGGCACGTTCCTTATTTCTCTATACTGGAAGAAGCCAATGCACTGCTATCACATCATGGCTGTTAAAATGTGAAATAATTCTTTACCTAGTGGTAAACAGATGCTATTCCAATCACCCCAACACCCTCCCCATGCGGCCACTAACAGTCCTGCTCCCTTTCTGGGCCCCCCTTATCTCTCAGGTTCAGGATTGGCTTCCTGCTCCAGAGCCCCTTATAATTGGTGGGTGCTGGCACCACATAGCTCTCTCCATTGTCCCCGCAGACCCTTCCCCTAGGAAAGCCCCTCTGAAGGGCTGCCACCAGCCAGGCAAAACTGATGAACCTCCTGCACCCCACAGCCATCCTACACACCACCCCCACCAGATCCCCACCAGACCCAGCAGTAGGAGACAGAGCCCCCTGTGTTGGTGACACCAGGGCAGGCAAATGCCCAGCCACCTTCGGCACCACCCCCAGGCCCTGGGACCCTGCTTAAGCTGAGTTCTTCAAGTTTTCCTCACATGGCCACTTCTAGGAAATGCCAAGTCTGTGGGCATTGGGTCTTGATAGCACGCCAGGTAGGTAGGGACAGCAGGCAGCCCGTAAGGCTGTTAAAGGATCTGACCATCACCTGTAGGTACATTAACTTTCTCTGATGTTGTGAATCAAAGAGGTAATGTAAATATAGGTCATGATTCACTTCCATCAATCAGACATGGTCATAAGGTCTCAATATCTGATGTGGCAAAGGTAAAATACACTTATTTTTAAGCCTAAACTTATTCATGGCACACTGTCATTCCTCCCCCCCACAACACACACACACACACACACACACACACACACACACACACACAGAGTGTACCAACACGTAAACAAGTGGGTCTTTCAGAAAAGGACAAAATTTCCCTAATACAGTCACTTAAAAGGAAATGAGATCTTTCGTTAAATCCCTATAGATACTAGACTTCTCTACAGACATTTAAGATTTTCCATAACATTTCAAAGTTGAAGGAAGGATAAAATCACACATTTTCTGAAAACTTAATTATAAGAATCAATTCTAACAAAATTTGTATTATAAACTTAAAAATAAAGCCTGCCTATCTGAGAATTATATCCATTAATGCAAATTTATATTGATACTTACTTTTAGATGAAGCTGATTGGTCCAGTGCCCAATGATTTTGTATTCTGCACTTTTGTTGGTTATTTGATACTGGAAGATATCATAACGTCCAGGAGCATCTCCATTTTCATTAAAAGTGACAGGTGTCCCAGCACTACCTATAAATGTTTACAAAACAATGTTAATAAAGTTTTAGTAAGATAGCCCACTGAGCTTATTTTTCTCTAAGAAAGAATGGTAGATAAAAATATATTGTGTGTAGTAAGAGATACGAAGATTGTAATCCATACAAGGTCATTCTTGATAGCATAATATCTTCTACACAAAAAGAAGCCCAGATGTACATACAGGGAGAAGACATGCTTTATTATGCACATTAGAAAGTAAATGGTGAGTATCCAAGTTAGGCAATGTACATAACAGTTAAATAAATAGAAGTTGATAGGCTGAATATTCCATCCTCGCTACAGAGAATGACAGTCAATAGAGAAGAGTGTAAACGTCCTGAAGCATAACACCTACTATATAACATGAACTACAAACAGCAACTCAAACTCTGGCAGGAAAACATCCTAGCCAAATTCCCTGGAGTTTTGCTTCAGTCTGGCCTGAACTCCACTCGGAAGCAGTTCCCCATTCAATTTCTCTTCTAAGCTTCTGCTACCTCTGCCCAAGAGTATATCAGTGTGGGCCATCGTTGGGAACCTCTCAATGGGCAAGACAGTGATGGCTGGCAAGTCCTGGATCGTAAAAGTTCCCCCAATTCACCGGGGCAGGGTAGCAGGACTTAAGATATCTAGTATATTCTAAACTCTCGTTTCTCTAAGAAGTTTTCAACTTTTCTCTTAATAGCTTCTGCTCACTTTTCCTTTTCCACTTATTAAGTGTTACATAATCACGGGTTTTAAGAGGAGAAAGGTGGGGCGCCTGGGCAGGTGAGTCAGTTAAGCAACCGACTCTTGGTTTTGGCTCCAGTCATGATCTCACGGTTCGTGAGATTGAGCCACACCTGGGTCTCTGCCCTGGCAGCACAGAGCCTGCTTGGAATTCTCTCCCTCCTCCTCTTTCTCCCCTTCCCCCGCTCATGCTCTCTCTAGCTCTCTCTCTCTCTCTCTCTCTCTCTGTGTCTCTCAAAATAAATAAATAAGTATTTAAAAAAACAGTAGAAAGGGATTGCTATTTCCATGTCTTATTCTGAGTAGCCTCACAATCTGAATAGAACTTCCTGTTCTGTAACAGCTTTTAGCTTCGCCCATTTCCCTGCTTCATCTTGTTGGATTACTCGTTGCTATCTCAACAAATTCGCCTAACACCAATCCCTTTTCTTTGTGCCTGTCTTCTCTCCCTGAATTGCTTGTCATAGCATATTGGATTTAATTTCTATGCTGTGCTAGAAAGTGTCTCCTTCTCGCTATCTCTTTTCCTATTCTCTCCCAAAATATACACTACAAATAATTACATATATCAACTCTCTACACTCCCATTTTATAATGAGTTCTTTACCTGCAGAATTTTTAACAAATGCCAGTAATCACAAAATTCTAAAACATTTAACTTATCAAACAACATCGATGACTTAAGACAATAAGTTGCAAATAAATACAACCACAGTCACACAGCAGCCATTAGGGTACTTTCCAAGTATTTAATGGAGAGATGTCCAATTTCCTGTTCTCTGGAATGTTTATAAAATTGGACACAGCATGAAATCTCTGATAGGATCACAGATACCTAGCATCTGCAAAACTGCTAAGGCCACAAGAGATGGTATAGCATGGAGGAGAGAGCACTAGTCTGAGAGTCAAGAGCTACATGACCATGTGAACTCCACCTCCCCATTTATTTCCAAGACTTTGTATCTCTCTTTCTATTCAGTGTCACGTGGGGACTTAACAATGAACATGAGCATGTGTTGAAGTCCTAGAAGAGCTGTATGCATTTAAATTATTATTATTAATTCATATGGGAAATGGCTTTATATATAAATCAAGAAAGAAACGACGAATTGGGGAATAAAATAGGAGCTGTCCAATCAACTGGTACTATCTTAGCTACTCCTTAGACACTCAAGCAGAAACCCATTTGCCATGCCTCACCAACACAGAACTCCTAGTGACCTCAAGTCACCAAAACAGAACTCCTAGTGACCTTGAGCAGGTTAACCCTTAAATCCTAGTGTCCTCACCTAAAAAATGGAGGTGATAGTGACACTTTTCTCATAGAGGTGTTGTAAGAATTAAATGAACAAATACCTGTCAAGTGCACAGAACAATGCATGGAGTAATGAGGTACTATTATTACGATTATTATTCACCCCATCAGTATTTCCAGTATGCACCAATGCAGAGGAATAGATAGGATGCTGAAAATTCTTTAAGTGATATCTAGACAGAGGATAATGGAAATTCAAATGGGAAAGAGATTCCTGGATGGAAAAATACGTATCTGTATGGATTTTACACTAACGTCATCAACAATTCCTGACATCTATATACCACGTCAAAAAGTTATCATGCCATATTCTTCATGAATAAAGGACTATTTGACTTCTCTAACTAAAATCCCCAATGTTACACCCCTTACTGAATGACCTCCAATCTTCTACAACAGCAGTCTCAATCTTTTTAACCATGATGATACCAAAGGTAGAAGGAAGCCACTCATGTAACACGTTCTCATGAATGTACTCTGAGTTGTATATAATTCCTGGTGCGTCAGCTGTTTCTACATCTCTTTTCTCCAACCTGAGAAAGTCTATCAGAAAGCAAATAAATGAGAGCTGCATTATCACAAAAATAATAATTGACTCACTGAAATACTTCAAATACCATTAACAACAACCCACACTGAACTTGACATTGTATTAAGAGGTAATATACTAAAATGGCTAGGAGTGTTGGGTTTGGAGCCAGATCACTGAGTTCAAACCTCAGCTCCGTCACTTATTAGATGTATGATCTCAGGTAAGTTACTTAATTTCCCTGTATTTCATGTGTCTCATTTTTAAAATGGGCTAATAGTACTTCCTATCTCAGAGGACTATGTGCCGATAAAGTGAGTTAAAATATGTAAAATATTTAGTACACAGTATTATATAAGTATTAATTATTATCTCCTTTATGGTTTTATGGAAATGCTGTGTATGAGATCCAGTGCCCATATGAAAATATAGGAACTTCTCAGTGATCATATATGGCTTTCCTCAAGTCACCCTCACTAATCTTAATTCTCCTTTTTCTTTTTTTTTTTAATTTTTTAAGTTCATTTATTTATTTTGAGAGAGAGAGAGAGAGAGAGAGTCAGAGAGAAGGAGCGATAGAATCCCAAGCAGTCTCTGCACCATCAGCACAGAGCCTGATGTGGGGCTTGAACTCACAAATCACGAGATCATGACCTGAGCCTAGGTCAAGAGTTGGACGCTTAACTGACTGCGCTACCTGGGTGCCCCACTAGTTCTCCTCTTTCAGCAGAATGCCACCTATACATAAAACCCAGTTCTCTAAATTCACCATGCTCCTTCTTACCATCCTGTCTTTGTACATGTTATTATTCATAAATTCACTTCCTCCTTCCTCCTATACCTTCTCTATATAATTCCTTCCAAGATGTGGCTCAAAGGTCACACCTAAAGAAGCTTGATCTTCTAAATCTGGAGCGAAAGCCCAAGTGCCTCTTTGCATGCTATCCTGCTCTAACATATCACTCGCTACACTCCACACACTTTTACTATTCACCCTCATACCCACTCAAAACATTTATTCGACATATATTTACTGAGAGCCTGTTATGTGCTCAACACTGGGTAGACCCTCTGCCTTCCAAAGGCAGAGTGTATCTCTAATCTTTGTAGGCTCTGAACCAAATACAGTGCTTCATACTGAGTGAGCAATCAATAAATTACAGTAAAGCGTAAATCAGACCCTCACTAATGATCCCAAGTAAATCCATACTTACTCTCTTCATACCATTATGAAATGCATGTATGTCACTTCTCATCTTTTATAGTCACTAAGGAAGGGGCCAAATGAGTCCCTTTCACATTGTTATCAGTCTGATGTTAGAAACCACTCTTGCAACTTGTTCTACTAATCTGATTTCTGATCTGGGGCTAGGCTTGCAGTTGAATTACTTCAACCCTTTCACAGAAAGAATGATTCCATTACACATTGGCTCGTCTCAGATGATTACCCTGGTTCTGCGGTTTATGTAACCAACAACACCTTTGATAGCTACAAGGGGCCATGCTGTTTACTAATTTCTATAAGAAGAAATTTAAAATATCCTTTGTATGAATCCGACCACCCCTGAAACAGCTGGCATTTTGTCCAGAAGAAAATTTTAAATGACAAATACATTGATCTCAATACATCGATCACTTTATTATGATTTACCAACAACACAGGTAAGAAATATATTTAGATATACATGTATTTAGATATATATCTCCCAGACTTCATCCCCTAGACTTAGTTATTTCAGAAAATTTTAAGTGTATTAATTTTTTAAAAAACTTTTTAAGTGATGTGCACTAGCAGAGAAATGGAAACAAACAATGTGGAGCTGTGAGGTAACTTTTACTTGTCAGGTACCACTCTCAGAGTCTATATATCTCCTGGAATATTTTCTGCTCAATAAGAAATGCATTGGAAAAAACTATCTATTTTTATTACTAGGCATATCAAGCACTTCGATATGTTTTTGTAGGAAAAAAATGATACATCCAATGAAGATTTTATTTGCAAATGTTGGCTCTGTTGAACATTGTTCTGGGGAAGACTATAAGCTTGGGATTCGGGGACTGAGTTTGATTTCTGGCTCTGCCAATTACCTGCGTGATCTGGGCAAGTTACCCTCACTAAATCTGTTTTCTCAACCATCAAGGGAGCATAATAACCTCCACCTCCCTGGGTTATTACGAGGGTTACATGAGATGATGTATGTAAAGCACTTAATGCGTGGCTGGCACACGATAGGTGTGCAATAAATGGAAGCCATCATCATCATTATCCGTTCCTTTGCCTACACTTATGCTTCCTTGATCTACATTAGCTTATTTCCACAATGCCAAATGCAATGCAAGAATAATTCATTCGTCTTTATGGGCAAATATCATAAATATATTTATAAGTGTAAGCCACTCAGCTTATTGTCATGTTTA